CTTTTCTCCTGCATTTGTTACTTTTCTCCTGCATTTGTTACTTTTCTGCATTTGTTACTTTTTGTCTTTCATACTAGCTATTCAGACCTGAACAATATAGCATGTCTGAGTGTGGTTGGGGTTTGCATTTTCCCGCTGATTACCAATGCTCACCTTTTACTTAATATAAAATTTTTGTGGGGATGTGCCCCGGCCTGTGGGGGATTTGATGAGATCCTGGGGGGGGGCAAAAGAATGAAGGGACAAGAGACACAAACAGCAAGACCAAGATTCGTTTTCTGATCAAGGTCCGTCGAGCTGTATTTTCTCAGGCAATTTATACAAGTAGAGAAGGGGATAATGTGTTTGGGGAAATTTCACAGAAGCTGGGCATTCTGCCATGGCAGATATCTTGCAACTGCTGATGTTTTTGTCTGGCTCAGGGCACAGCAACCACTGGCCACATGCTTTCTCAGGAATTGATAGCTGAGGAAAAACAAAACCTAAAACTATTCTTTCAAAATGGAGTAAGGTTGGCTCCTGGTAGGGATGGAGAGATGGTTCAGTGGTAAAAAGTACTTGCTGTTCAGAAAGATCTGAGTTCAGTTAACTTACAGGGAGACTTACAAAGATATGTAACTCCCTTTGCAGGGAACCTGGGATCCTTTTCTGGCTTCCACTGATGTGAGGCAGGCAGGAAGTACACTTACTTTCAGACAAAGCATGCACATACATAACAAATAAGTAAATTTTGAAGATTTAAGTAAATTTCATGTGCTATTAATATCTCTTCTTGTAAGATTGATTTCTTGAGATTGTTTATCTATTTGTAATCAGCTCCCTTGTGCCTTCTACTATTGAATTCTTTTAGTGTCTAGTTTGTAAATATAGTCCCTATTTGTCAGGTCTTCCCTCTGTTGAGTTTTTCCCCTTTTGGAGTGGGGGCGGGGGTGGGGACAAAGGCTTTTATAAGAGTTATTTTTAACTGGCATACAGAGTGTCAGTTTTCCTATGACATTTCCACAATACTTTGCTTGAGTTGAATTCACACACACCCATAGCTCTGCCCCCTATTCGTGCCCCTCCATTCCCAGGATTCCCCTTGCTGGCTTAGTGTTGCATGTGTTCTATTACCCTCTCCTCATGACCTCTTTAGGGCTATTTTTGATGTTTATAGGCCTCTCTCTGATTTTATAACCTCTGTTCACACTCATGCCCATACACACACACATACACACACACACACAGTCACAATACACACACACATACATAGATCCACACAAATATATGTGTGTGTGTGTGTATATATATATATATATATATATATATATATATATACATACATATATATATATATGTATGGCTATGTATGTGTGTGTTATTTTTATTCAGTTTTACTATATATAATATTTATAATATATTATTAACATAATATTTATTTTATTTCTATTTGTATATAAATTAGAAGTTGGGATCCTCATATGACAGATAATATCTATCTGATAATATTTATCTGAGCCTGGGTTGCCTCCATTAGCATATTTTCCAGACATTTCTTTCAAACTTCCGGATTTTATTTTTCCTTATTGCTGGATAAAATCTCAGCATGTGTATCTACCACACTTTTCTTATCCATTCATCAATGGAAGGATATTTCATTTGTTCCCATTTCTCAACCTATTGTGAATTGAACACAGCCACTGGGCCAATGAACACAGTTGATCAAGCTCTGTGGAGTAGAACATCGACTCCTTTGGGGAGATGTCAAGGAGCGGTATGACTGGGACATGTGGTAGGTTCATTTGTAGTTTTTTGAGAATTCTCCACAGTTATTTCTGCAGTGGCTAGTACTGTTTGCCATCCCACCCATGCTGAGCCAGGATTCCATTCCCCTCCCCTGGTGCGTGCAGTTAGCAATCCCACCCATACTGAGCAGTGAGGGCTCCAGTTCTGTTTCTCTTGGCCATCCTCTCCAGCATTTGTTGTCAGTTGTCTTGTTGATCTCTGTTATTCTGGCTGGGGTAAGATGAAATCTCAAGGCTGTTTTGATTTGTGTTTTCCCTAATCGCTAAGGATGTTGAAAACTATTCTAGGTTCTTCTTGGTCATTTTTGTTTCTTCTTTGGACAACTCTCTGTTCAGACCTATGGTCCATTGTTTTTTTAACTGGGTCATTTGTTTTATTTACTCTTTTGGTTTTTTTAAGTTCTTCGTTCACTCTGGACATTCATATTCTATCATTTTCTATCAGAATCTATCAGATTCACCCTCTACCACTTATGTAGCTGTAAAAGAATGCCTCCAGTTCTGTGTGCTTCCCTTTTGTCTGGTTGACAGTTTCTTTTGTGGTAAAGAAGCCCCATTTGTCTATTGTTGATCTTAACTCCTAGGCAAATGGTGTTCTGTTCAAAAAATTCTTTCCAGGGCCTGTATCTTACAGTGTAATGCCTATGCTTTCTCTAGCAGGTTCAGTATTTCCCGGCTTACCCATTCCTTTGGGCTAGCTCCTAGCTATCACCCCAGCTTCCCTCTTTCTCTGCTCATCTTTGCTCCTCAGAAGAAAAACATTCATACATCTTTATTATCTTTGAACTTGACATATAACACAATTGCTGGACACAGAATCTCTTACCCTAACCCTAACCTTATCAGCTAGGCTGTATCAGCCATCCACCAGTGTCAGAGGACACTGGTTCTGGCTACCCCAAGATCATACATGGCTGTTGTGTGTTTCTCATTCCAAAGCCTGGCCCAAAAGTCCCCTTCTCTTTCCTCATGTCTTTTTTTCCTCCTGTGACCCTGAAGTGCGATCTTTACTCTTTGCTCAGCAATTGACCCCCACCTTCTTTCTTGACCAAGTCAAGAACCAATCAGGGAACCAGATCTTACTAATAGCGCCTCCCCTTACAAGGATATGCCACTTCCTTTATGTAGCCTTTGAACAATGAACTACCTGTGGTGAATGTACAGAAGGAGGGTGAAAAGTATTCAATGACTTGCAAGGGAACTGTGTTAGGGACATTTAAGTGGAGTCTTGGAGGAAGAGCAGGAGTCTACCAGGAGAGCAAGGAAAGGAAGTGGATGTTGGAGAAGGAAACTCAGAGACCTGAAATCCATTTTTCTTTCCCATCCCCACTGTTGCTTTCATAGTCGAACATATTTTCCGGAGCAATATTCATCCAATTGGCCTTAGGATTGAACCTCTACCTGGCGGTCTTCATCCTCTTAGCTATCACTGCTTTTTACACAGTGGCTGGTAAGTCTGCCTCTGGTTTTATTCACCCATAAAATGTTCTGTTTGTCCTCCCCTGATCTGGGATTAGTAGATTTGGTGTTAGCCTTCCGAGGGACAGATTAAGGATACCATCCCATTGACAGTGTGAGAATAAAGCACAGGACGAGAGCAGCAATTGCAAGAAATGCAGCAGAATGTTCATCATTAGATGTAAGAAGATTGATCAAGACAACAGTATGAGGCCGAGAAGGTTACATATAGAAATATATGTGTGTATACATGTGTACATATACAACAATTAGTGGAAAAGACGTCATGAATTTGAAAAGGAGCAAGGATACATATATAGATATATAGATATATAGATTTATAGATAGATAGATAGATAGATAGATAGATAGATAGATATCCCAAATGGGGGTAATTGAGTAGATTATTATGGTAAGCTGTCAGTTTTCCCTTATGTAGTATTCAAAAACTCACCAACATGGAACTCCACCAATAATTCACAGAACTCTGTATCTCAATAAGAAAAAAATGAATTAAATATGTTAATAAACACTTAGGAGAAAATGAGGTCAAGAAAACCTGTGGCTCACATGGGACCCATGATATGTTGTCTTCTGACTCCTTTCTATGTTTGGGATAGAGGAGAGCCCACAGGTGAAGAGGGAAATCAGGATACATGGATAACATGTCCTGCTCCGATATTTTCTCTCCATAGGGGGCTTGGCCTCAGTGATCTACACAGACTCTCTACAGACTTTCATCATGCTGGTTGGCTCTTTAATTCTCATGGGGTTTGGTAAGTGAAGATTGTGTGCTCTTCCTTGGGCTAGGGAATTATAAGAAAAGTTCCTGTCTGTGTGTTCTGTAATGTTGCCTCCTGTTTCACTGCCTCATACTTCCATTTCATATGTAGATCCCTTAATGGGAATGTTAACAGTCCAGTTATCTGGATGGGGTTTTTTGGCTGGATTAGATAAAGACTGTGGGTAGACAGGGGAAATAGCTTCAGTCCTGGCAGCACCAAGCCCATTCATCTGTTGGGAGTCATTGTCCCATGAACTTTGCTAGGCAGATGTGAATTAACATCTAAACAATCTACTTTATCTTGAATGCTGATATTCCTTTCTTCTCAATTCAGTCTCCTTGTAAAGCTTTCCCTTGAGTTTTCTACTTGGGTTATTGAGCTTTTCATTTTGGCTGGATTCTCTTCAAATTTGTTTCTTATTACATTTTGAAACCCTGTATTCTTTTCTTCATCACCTCCTTCAGCCTTATGTTGAGTTTTCTTTTGCATCAGCTCAGGGGTTTCTCCTCTTTAAATTTATTGAGATGTTCCTTTGTGTCCTTCTAAAAGGTCTTGAAATTTTTGATGAGTATATTACTACTGCTTTTAATTTTGTATTTTGGGGTTAGTCTAGGTAACTGTGTTCAAACAATGGCTGGAGCAATAAGGCACTGGGAAGGAATTAAAAGGATACAAATAGGAAAAGAAATCAAACTATGCTTGTTTGCCAATGGTGTATTAGACAAAAGAAATCCCAAAGATCTACAATAAAACCTCTAGAAATAATCAACAATGTGGCAGGATACAGCATAAAAATTTAAAACTCAATAGCTTTTCTAAATACCAACAACAAACACAGAGAATGAGATCATGGACACACTCCCATTCACAATATCCTCAAAGAGAACAAGATATATCAAAATAAAGCCAAGCACAGAAATGGAAGACAACATAATAAAAAAACCTTTAAACTGCTGACGAAAGAGATAAAGGCACTGGAAGATGGAAAGACATCCCATGCTCATGGATTGGTAGAATTAACTTGTGAACATAACCATTTTACCAAAAGCTATTTACTGATTTAACACAATCCTAATCAAAATCCTCATCTAGTTGGGATATAAGAAACTATCCCAACATTAATATGAAAACACAAAAGACAACAGATAGGTAAAATAATACTGAGCAAAAAGAGAAATACTGACCAGATTGCCATTCCAGATCTCCAGATATATTACAAAACACTGTCTTATCCTAGCTTGTACTAAGATAGCCCATTACCTCCTACTCATAGCATCCAAATGCTTTTATAGCCCCTACCTTTTACAGTTCTCCAAAAACAAACAAACAAACAACAACAACACAGCACCATGATCCAGCTTGTCACAGAAACTTCTGTCTTAGTTGTTTTTCCCTCACTGTGATGAAAAACTAGGGCAACTCAGCTTTTAGAATGAAGAGTTTATTTGGGGCTTGCAATTTAAGAGATATAAGAAATCGTGACTGTCATGGTGGAAAGGAACATGGCAAGAAGGTAGGCATGGTGCTGGAGCAGAATCTTTGAGCTCACAGCCTGATTCACAAGCAGGAAAACACTGAGAATGATTTGAGTCAAATCTCACCTACATTGTTACAACACCTCCTCCAAGTCCATACCTCCTGTGTAGTCAGGGTTCCTACTGATGCAATAGAACATCATGACCAAAAAGCAAGTGGGGAGGAATGTAAAGGTAACTTTAAATCACCTGATGTACTTGTCTTGAAGGTGTACTGCTCAGTAAACTCACCCTTTCCAGCGCTTTCTGAACTCTGGCTGGCTAGTTCAACTCATCTAGTCTGGTGCAAACTCCTCTCCAAACTGACTCATTCGAAGTGGCTTTTCTCAGCTTCTGATTGAATTGCTCTGCTTGGTCTCAAACTAACTCTGACAATCTGTTCTAATCTGGCTGCCTTCTCATTCTATGGCTTGCTCTGTTCTCGTAACCTATTTCTGTAAAACTCTTGGGAAAACTGCATCCTCTCTCTCTCTCTGTCTCCCTCTCTCTCTCTCTCTCTCTCTCTCTCTCTCTCTCTCTCTCTCTGTCTCTTCCTCCCTCCCCCCTCTCTCTGTGTATACTGTCTCTTAAATCACCTCACTTTCCTTTGCTGTTCTCCTGAGAGGTGTGCATATCCTATTTCTGATTCATTCTGTCAAATATTTCTCTAATTTGTCAGTTCGTCTGCCCCTTTATTAGGCATCACTTTCAAACATGGTTACTTCCTTCTACAAATTAAACTAAATTAAACTACTAACTAAATTAAACTACTAAATTAAATTAACTACAAATTAAATTAACATTTTTTAGGGGTTAAATATATGTGTTATTTACACATAGATCATACTGTAATCCAGGGAGTGTCTGCCTTCTAGCTGAATCACATAGATGGAGTTCTTTAGACATGCTCTTGACAGAATAACCATGTTGATGGATTAAAATTCCTCTACAATGGAAAGGGATTATTTTGGCTTACACTTCCATATTCATCATTGAAAGGAATCAGGACAGGAACTCAAGCAGTGCAGGAACATGGAGAAAGGAACTGATGCAGAAGCCATGGAGAAGTGCTGCTTACTGGCTTGCTCATTAAGGCTTGCTTAGCCTGCTTTCTTGTAGAACCCAGGAACACTAGCCCATGGATGGCACCACCCACAATGTGCCAAGCCTTCCCCAAACAATCACTAATTAACAAAATGCCTTTTAGGCCTGCCTACAACTCAATCTTATGTAGGCATTTTCTAAATTGAGGTCCCCTCCTTTCAAATGACTTTAGCTTGTGTCAACTTGACATAAAGCTATCAAGATACCTCCTAATTCTTACAAGCAGTTCCACTAACTATAGACAAAGTATTGAAAGATAGGAGCCTATGAAGGCCATGCTCATTCAAAGTGCCACACTAACACTAAAGGCCTTTTGAAAATCCCTATAGAAACCTACTACTGTAGACTCATCCTAATAAATAGAAAAATATAAAAGGAGTTTTAAATGGAATTACCATATAATGGTAGACTTACATCAGTTGGGACAGGAACTCACACAGGGCAGGAACCTGGAGGCAGGATCTGATGCAGCGATCATGGAGGGATGTTACTTACTAGCTTGCTTCCCCTGGCTTGCTCAGCTTGCTTTCTTACAGAACCCAGGATCACCAGCCCAGGGATGGCACCACCCACATTGGACAGGGCCCTCCCCCACTGATCATTAATTGAGAAATTCCATACAGCTGAATCTCATGGAGACATTTTCTCAAGGGAGGCTCCTTTCTATGTGATAACTCAAGCTTGTGTCAAATTGACACCCAAATTCAGCCAGTACACACCCCAAAGAACTATTTCTAAACAGGTCTACTTCCCCTGTATCCAAGTAATCTTTCTTTTCCACTACCTCTGGTGGGTGGTAGGCTAGAGGGGAGGTTGAATACTTATTAAAATAGATTGTGGAGGGCTGGAAAGATGGCTTGCTGGGGGTCAGCCCCTGCTTCGTGGGAAAGAAGTCTTCTTTCTTCACCTTCTTGTCAGTTCTTCTTGATGCAGCTGAGGGGGTGGAAGAGCATCAGTGGGGGGTAAGACTTGGTCTTATGAGATATATAGAGTTGTTGTATATCAAAAGTTTACTTATCTATGCTAGAAAAGTTCACTTACTATGCTACTGTAGCTGGCCTGCCCTCTGGTATCCTCTGGCCAGAAACTGTAGATTCTGGTACTTATCACATCAGCCCCAAAATAGCAGAGGATTAGGTAAATAGCCTTTGTACTCTCTCAGCAGGAACTGCTGTGCTCTAACTAGCAAGTCTGAGGTCACAGGAAGAAAAAGACACTTAGAGAAGTTATTACAGAGTTTATTACTAAGTGTAAAACGTTTCCTATTAAAGCTATCTAAGAGGAAAAGTGGAAAGGTCCTAAGAGGGGACAAAGAAAAAATTCTAACTGAAGAAATTCTAAGCAGGGGAAAAGGAAAGGAAGGGATGAATGGCTCCTAACGAACCTCTACATCTATGACTACTCTACTACGACTACAGCTACTCTACTATCCTTTTTGTCTTTGCTTCAGTACTTATACACCTTTCAGAGTACATGGTCACATGTTACAAAGTTCATCACAAGTTCACACCAAAAGTCAAATCGTAAATTGGAATAGATGTTTACAACAGAGAATGTTTACATGCATATCCATTGGGAGCAATTATCTGGCTAAACATCCATCACCTGTCTAACTCCACAGGTTCACTGAAGGTTTAAAACTATAACTAAGAAACTAGTGAAGTTTTGTATAGATAAACCCATCCAACATTTTTTCTTTTGTCCTAGCACCTATAATAAATCATGAGTTCCCTTTTAATGACCTTTGGTTAATTGTTTTATGACCTCTTACAATGTGCTCTGAGCAGGAGAAAATCTGGCTACTATCTAAGGGCAATCAACTGATGACACTTGGAAGACTGGCAGAGCTCTCATTGCAGTTTTGACTATCAGAAAGGGACCTAATAACAGTCCCACTATAAAAGAGCTTAATAATCATTGATATAATTTTAGGAATTCTTTTTTTTAAAGATTTATTTATTTATTACATATGAATACACTGTAGCTGTCTTCAGACACACCAGAAGAGGGCATCAGATCTCATTACAGATGGTTGTGAGCCACCATGTGGTTGCTGGGATTTGAACCCAGGACCTCTGGAAGTGCAGTCAGTGCTCTTAACCACTGAGCCATCTCTCCAGCCCCAATTTTAGGAATTCTTATAGGATCATCATTAAGACTTAAGAAGTCATCTATTTGTCTATATGGCATCACTACAAGACAGTACATCCTCGTGGATCTGCAGAGATCTGCTCCAAAGGGGTATGCTATTGCTTAGTGATTGTTACATATGTTTAACAATAATAATAGAAAAAGCATATTAATAGCAGGAATCTTTCCTAAAATAAGTTCCTTACAGCCTTGCTAAACAAGGACTCACTTGTTCCACATTATAAAATAATCCAAGGCAAGCATTTCAGGATGATCACCTGTTAAGTATTAGCTTGTCCCATTATGGATCCTGACAATAGCTCAGTGGTTAAGAGCACTGAATGCTCTTCCAGAGATCCTGAGTTCAATTCCAAGCAACTACATGGTGACTCACAACAATCTGCAGTGGGGTGTGGTGCCCTCTTCTAGTGTGTCTGAAGAAAGCAATGGTGAATACATAAAAAATATTTTTAAAAATAGATTTTGAAAAATATACACTAACACACCTGCAAAGTTCATGGGAGTGTCTATGTTCATCGAATATACTTTATGTTAATTCCCTATTGGAGAAATTCTTGGGAAAGATTTTCTAATAATCAATATACAGCCAGGAGCTTTTCTCCTAGATCATTCTGGATCTTGTCAAGTTAACAAGTGTTTACAACTCTAGAGGTGGTGGTACCTGAGAAAATGGAGCCAGTAAATGAGGCAGACAGAAGTCTCACACAATGGCCAACTTTATTCAGAGCATCAGACAATTTATACTCTGAGGGTTAAGGCAAGTCATTTGCATAAAGTATAGAATCACAACAACGAACTGCACATGGCAAAACATGTTTTTCCTTAGAGGTGTATAAACAAATAGCAAGAGCCCATTGAGTCTAACATGAACACACTCCTACCCACTATACCTGGGAAAGGCACGAAAGCACATTTCAAGAACTATTCGATGCTTTTGAAGAAATGGGGATCACAAGACTCTTGTTTCCTGTTTTCTCACAAGCACTCAGAATTATCTAACAACTCCATTCTAGAATGTATTCTAACAGACAAGTATTGAACCATTGCATCTCCCTATATTGAGCTACACTTCTCTGAAAGTCTCTCCCTTGTGGCTAGCCCTTGGCCTTCTTGTTAGCCCTTGGGGGCAGCACTGAATGTCTATGGACCTGGTCTTTACAGTGGGTTCCCAGTGATAAAATGATAAAAGGAGTTTCCTCCTCCTCCTCCTCTTCCTCCTCCTCCTCCTCCTCCTCCTCCTCCTCCTTCTTCTT